CTTGCTTGCGGGAGTGCGGGAGGCCGTCCCAATTTTCGGGAGACTCCTGTGAGTTCTGGGAGACTTGGGACCCCTGTTATGGTCCAGGATCTTAGCCTTTAGGTTAGATGTGAAATTCACAGTGAGGGCTAAGATTGAGAGCTCGCCAATACTACTCCTGCCACCCTATGTGTCCGAATTTATCTCATCCATGCTTGACTGCATACCGACATTAACAAGGCACCAAACGAAAAGCATAGGCTTAGGAAGGGATGTTTCCGTACATATGGTGGGGACCAGGAGGGCACGCCCCTGGAAGCTCCGGGGTTGTAACAGCCATCTTGATCTCTTTGATCTCTTTAATTTCATGCTTAATTAGTTTTCTGGAGTCTTGCATCTTTGATTGATGTGAGTAGACCTAAGTTGTGCGAAAATAATTAGAACTGTTAACTAACTACTATACTGTATGTCTGGAGAAATTAGACCTGAATTTTGTAAAGTAAGATTTTCTGACATAACATATTCTATTACAGATAGCCGATTTATTTCATACCTCCATGGTGTTATGTTTGAGACCCTCGCGACGCACAATGGATACTCGATTGTGTATAGTTGTTTAAAGTTTGCTCTTGTGTAACATCAGAACTCTGGTAATTAGATCATAGGTTGTTCAGCCAGAAAATTCTCAATAACACCAAACAGAGGTAAAGAGATCAATTAGTAATTCACTTTCACATATGGCTTCAAAGAATTTTACCCTCTTGTTTAATGAATATTTTTTCAGTTAAGTTAATAAAAACACTAAAGTATGCAAATACTGTATTCCTCTGTAGTTCCACAATGAAACATGTATAGTACCTAATGTTACATTGTACTGTTGTGGTAATACAGAAATATATAGTTTAATGTTCTCAAGTTCTTATTTTATGCATTCTAAATATTGTGAGTACAGTATTGGACAACTCCTCATATAGGTTAGTTATTTACTTATATAATTAATTATTATTATTGAATATTGATTAGGCAGTGATAACAATTTGCATGAATGCTATCATAAATTTAAAAAAGGTGTCTTCCCTTCCCAATCAGGCATTGCAGTTTATGATTCTCGAGAGTGTAGACACGTGGCAATGTCAATTTTATTTTATATTCATAATTCTGAATAAATTGTTACATAACAATAGAAAACCATTAAAAACATGTCAACAAAAAAACTCATGCATACTCTTGCAAAGAATCCTCATTGAACGACAACAAAAAATAATCATAGAATTAGAGCAACTATGCAAATTTCATACATGATTGAATGAAAGATTTTTCTAGATTACATTCTCATCTGCTAATCTTACAGACCATGTTTCCTGTAATTGTAGGTTTTTAAGGGCACTAAGGTTTTAACTGTACTACACTAGGCAATTTTTCTCCGTATAATTTCCTTATACTGTGTTATACTTGACAACCTTTTCCTCAGTTGGCCACTAAGGACTGTTTTATAACAGGAGGTGTGAAGAGAGATGGACGCTAAAATCCCAGCAAATTGTTCTTAAGCTGGAAACTCATTGCACCTGATGGTTGTCGGACGACGCATTTCTGTCAATATGCATGCAACGGATCATAAGCCTCGGTATTGTGAGTAGGGTGGCCAGTAGTGAACAACCTGGTACCCATTTATACTCTGGGTAGAGAGAGACAAATGTAAAGTGCCTTGCCCAAGAACACAAGCAACTTGCACAGCGAGAGTTCTGAACCCCTGACCTCAAGGTTGGGAGTCCAAGCCAGAACCGATGCGCCAACCGCTTTTTATTTATTAAGTTGTGTGAAAGTGACAAATCTCAGTAGTTTAACTTGTGGCTCCATCGATTTTTACTGTATTTGCATCAAAATAATGTAGTACATTCTAAAGTATCTATGATTCGAAGTAATTTAGATTGAAGTTGATATTAAATCCTGTTTAATAATTAATAATTATTGTATATTGTCACGGTGAAATACAGCTACAATACTCATAAGTTTGGGCTTCTTGTTCTGTCAAAATGGATCATACTGCAATGTCCTCATTACTCAGGCTTCTCGAAGTTGGCCTGTCAGGTTTTGTCACCATCAACTTTTCTTTACAATGCTAGGTTGGGGCGTGCCAGAAATTCCCTAATGGCAGGGGAAGCTCCCGGCAGGGAGGGAAATTCCCTGCATAGCGCCGCCATTGCATACATATTTTTTCCTTACAATGAGTTATCTCTCTGATTTGTCTCCCAAACAGTCCAAGTTTAAACCAGGTTCACCCTGCCTGATTTGTCTGAGACAATTGTAGCTACTGACTAGCCATCAGTTTAGTTTCCTTTTGTTTTGATTAACATATTTTCTATTTTCTGACTAGATCATTAGATGTATGGTCTAGATTATAACAATGTATTATTGGTACTGTAACAAATAGTTTTTTTTAGCTTTGTGATGAAATTGAATGTTGTTCGGCGCTGTGCTCTATCACTGACCAATCAAATTGAAGTATTATGTACTTTCTGCACATGTGCAGAAGCCATTTAAGGCTGTATTATGGTTATAACATTCTACTGTAGTTTGCAACCATGTTGAAAACTCCGTAGTCGTGAGTGCTTATCATTGACATTTATATTCTAGAATTAGATATTGATTTGCGTTGAATGATTTATGATATCTATCTGTTACTCTGTTGAGAAACTTCAAATGATCAAGCTTATTCTAATGTTAGCAATAGCAGCATAATAATGAATGCCTAAGGCCTTTTCAAATTCTATCCTCTGTATCCATGGTGATCAATGTGTACTGGATAATAAAAAGAATATAGTACAATAGTCCAACTATTATCATTATTTATTATCATAAAGATTTGTTTGAGATAAACATATTGTCCCTGTGTATCTTCTTTTTTTTTTTCAAATATCATTATTCTGTATATTCCTAATGGATGGTACAGCAGCTCAATAACGTTCAGTAGAATAGTAATTTTTTATCACGTTTCAACTCTCACGATCCGATCAAGAGTTACAGAATTTAGCTAAATTTACCAGAATTTTTTTTAAATACCCAAAAATCAGAAAGGGTTTGCTCTTTTGGTTTGATTATTTGTGTTTGTGATTCAAGTTTTCTTTGTGTTATATTAAAAATATGTCGGATAATTAAAATAATAATAATAATAGTTGGATTTGTATAGCGCATCATGCGAAAAAGCCTCTATGTGCTTGGTGATTGAGCTTTTTGAGTTTGACATTTTGAAAAAAAACCTACTCCTTAAACTAAAGCTCGTTGGCCGTTGGCTCCGAGGAGTTCATCCGCCCTTTGTTCAGCTGTTTTTTTTTTCATGCTGCTGGGTGTCCATCCATCCTCCCATCGGCGGCCGCTAAAGACCACCAGACGGGTTTGCCGGAATTAGTCGCCGACGACTCGACCGGATGCAGTTTATAACATCGAAAAAATAACATTTTTCCGAAGAGTAGGACATTGTCTCCTGCTGTACTGCCCAATTTACCACTAGGTACTGTAATTCCCCATAGGAAATAATAATAATAATAGTAATAATAATAATAATGAAAATTTATATAGCGCCGGTAGACACGAAGAGAGTCTTAGGGGCGATGAAAGTCATTGAACATATATTATCTATATATTAATTCTGCTAATTGCCACCGCGTAACTTCACCTATCTCCTCTAAAATCACTGGCAGGAATGTGCTCATGTCTCGTACACTGGGGTTTCTATATGTCAAGACCACATTCCGCTACTTTTTAAGGCTGGATATTGGATAACAATGCAAAAAACAGTGAAAAACCACCAAAAATCACTACCTGTTTCGCCATGTTTTACGAACCGCTTACATCACATAAGTAACCCTTCTGTTAATGTATACCGCAGTGCTCAGATTTAAGAAATATTGCGTCAGGCCTCCTCAACTTCCCATAACATTCAACAATATACATCGCCACCTTTCCCCACTCATTCAACATCGTGCAGAGCACGGATATATGCTAGTTATTATTATTTACTATTATTATTGATATCGATGTCAGAGTGAGGTCGAAATTTTACTTGAACTTTTTTAATTGAATTGAATTTTTCTTATTTTACCATAGCATGTAGAATACAATCATGAACATCTGTAAATATACAGATTGTTTTTAAAATTACAATTATATATATATATTGTATATTTTTTAGTTAAAAGTGTGGATTATCCAAAATGATATTATGTTTTTAAATGATATTACCTTATGGATTTCATATTGCAACAATTTGAATATGTTGGTTTTTATATTTTGAATGCTAAAAAAGAAATGTTCATGTGAACTGATTTACTTTTATCTCTACTAATCAATTTGAGATGTTATTACAAGTCAGTTAGTGATTCTCTGTTTGTAGTTAGTTCTGGAACATTAACTCTCATGTTTATGTTTGACTATATTTGACATATTAAAATGTGTTTTTTAGCTCATTATGCTAATGTCAGAAGTAATGAGAAGGGAGTATTCAGCAGTCGTACATCAAATGATTTAATATCAATGTGAATCCACAAAGTGTTGTTTTTAATCACATGGCTCCTGGTCTGTCTTGTAATTATTATGCAACTAACAGTATTTGTTTTTAAATTATATAAAAAATAATAATTATACTATTAAGAATAATGCATCCATTTGAGGCACTGGTAATTAAAATTAATATTACCACTGTGTTATATAGTTTGGCGTTTTCCTTCCTATTATTAGAACACTGAATTATAGAAAATCCCATTGCCCAATGGATAGGTCTGTTTTTACTTTTCGGTAAAATATACAAACCAAAAAATCGACATGCCACCACAATGAGTTCCTACTTAAATTTGGAGATGCGCCTCCATGGTTAGACACATAAAGACATGTGATTCTTTTTTTATTTTTTTTAAAATAAAACATGGCGATACTGTACCTTAGTTATGATGATTAACTGTGCATTAGCTCAAACGACAAGTACAAAGTGTAATGAATAATTATTTCAACATTTTTTTTTTACTTAGAAAAAAAGTTTAGAAGAAAGTAAAGGAGCAGGGAGTGGTGTAGAGATCTTAGTGAATGAGCCATATGAGAAGGAAGATGGAAGGAAAGGACAGTATACTCATAAAGTATATCACATTGGCAATCATTTACCAGGTAAAATCATTTTAATTATCAGCATTACTATAAAATGTGACTATAAAATTATGATAAACATCATCATCATCATCATCATCATCATCATCATCATCATCATCATCACCATCACCATCACCACTCATTATCATGATCATCATAGTCATTATCACCATTGTCATTGTTATCACCATCATCATCTGACATCATCTTTACTAGGACTCAAATCATCATCATCATTATCATCATTATCATCATCACAACCGCTCATTATCTTAATCAGTCATCATCATCTCCATTATCAATGTCATCGACACCATCATCTGACATCATCATTGTCATTGTCATTATGATGACGGTAATGGATGTGTATTTGTATGACACCTTTCATAATCATAGCACATTTAAAGAAAATGAACAAAAATTTTAGTCCTAAAAATTACTATTACTAAATTAAAAAACAAAACTAAAATAAACCCAGCTGAGAAACGATCACGCCTACACAAGATTACAATAAGCATTTTTATCATAATGGTCTTTACCATGGTAAGCATATAAATTTAATTTTTATGCTCTCCATTTTATCGTTTATTATAACATTCCACTGGGCATGCTCAGAAGATTTTATAGACATACCAAGGAATTATCTTGATGTGAGGTAGATACTAACATGTTTTGTAGAGAGTACTACAGTTACGTCACGATACCATGTGATACTACTCCGTTGCTATCGTTGCAAAAAGAGTTCAACCGGACGCCATTTTCTCCACTTACAAACCATTGATCACAATTTCTAACGTAATTATTATGATGTTGTATCTTACATTTTTTTTGTAAACTTTAATTGATGATTAAATGTGTGTTCAATAACTAATATAATGCGAGCTTTTGTGTTTTTAGTACATTTTGATGGTAAAATATTAGATTTTAAAATGACTATTCCAGAAAGCGTATGAAGTCACATTCAGGCGTAATGAGCGATAACCTACGTCTGTTGACAACAGAGAGCGCCACCTGGCGTCGTGACGATACAAATGTGGTACTCTATTCCTGTTAGCAGTAGTGCATTACGATGGCGCTTACTTGATTGAGATGAGACCTGTATGATTGATTTTCAAAGAAGTAATCTCGACTGATGGATTATAGAAAACTCGGCAATTTCATGGCTGCTCACCTTTCATTAAAATGATCTTAACTGCTTTTTGTGTTTTCTTCATTCAGAGCATTTTTAGATGCCGACATCATTAATAGGTTATCCGGAATTTATCTTTCCATGACTGTTGACAATAAATGTGATCATACCTGGCTGTGTGTCTTGTGGTTGGTCGTATTATGTAGCTTAGTCTCATTTGTACCTACTTCTGTATCAGCTACTAGAATACTGTTCTTTACATATTTATTGCAAACACAATTGATAATGCAAATTTAATAGGTTTTTCCTTTCAATGTTAGGTTGCTTTCATACATTTTTACACATATTATTGATAAAGTGTAGTTGATAATTAAAATTTTATAGTTTTTCCAATCAATTTCAGGTTGGTTTTTCGGGCATTTCTCTACAAATTATTGAGAAATACAGTTGAAATTGCAATTTAAATAGTATTTTGCTTTCAATTTTAGGTTGGTTTCGTGCAATTCTCCCAAAGTCAGCATTACGTGTAGAGGAAGAAGCATGGAATGCATATCCGTATACTAAGACACGTTTTACTTGCCCGTTTGTTGAGAAGTTTTTTATTGAGGTCGAGACATACTATTTACCAGATCGTGGTAACCAAGAGAATGTCTTCAAACTCACTTCTTCAGAGCTGAAAAACAGAATTTTAGGTATGTATGTTTTTTAACAATAATGATGTTTTTATTCTACTAATATGTACAGTAAGGTTGGTCTATGCATAAGGTAAGGAAGTTGCCATAACAACTAATCTAGAACTTATCTACAGTTATTGTGTGTACCCAAACTAAGTCAAAATGTAACTACAGTTAAAGTTTCACATCATATTCTTGTTAATTTTAGATTTAATAGATGTTGCAAAGGATCCTGTGTCCAGCAGCGACTACAAGAAACAAGAAGACCCAAATGTGTTTCAATCTTCCAAGACAGGGCGTGGTCCTCTACCGGAGAATTGGTTGGCAATTGCTGGGCAGAAACAAGGGGCTGACCATGGGTTACCGGAGGTTATGTGTGCCTACAAACTTTGCAAGGTTGAGTTCAGATATTGGGGCATGCAAAACAGGATTGAGAAGTTCATACATGACATAGGTAATCAATATTGTAGTGATATTAACCTGAGTGTCCCACCTTCTATTTGACCATTTAGGGTGAGCCCATGCTCATTCAGAAGCTACAAAATACTGATATTCCAAACACTCTATTTTCTGATTAGTAAATGTTTACGTTTTCGTAGGTACATCCTGCAAAGGACGCATGGTTCATAACTGCAGGGTAACAGGGGATGTATGGACCAGTGCAATGGGTTAACCCCTTTACTCGTCTCGAAAAATGTATTTGGTTCTTTAAAGTGCACATGAGCCAACTTTGTACACTAGGCCTACGGTGTATATTCCTTATCCGAGAAGATTTGTCCCACCTCCGGAACCATGGGCGAGCATACTGCTAGAACCAGCGCCAATATTATGGCTGTAGGTTGCGGTGACTCGGCCTTAACCACTCGGCCTTTCAACTCGCACAATGCATAATCCCATTTATATCTAGATTTGTACACTGTCTTTTATAACAATGAATCTTTTAATTGATTATTTTCTTTGTAATGTTTTAAAAGAAGTAAATATCCTTTGCTTTCTATCCTTTGATTGGTTATAACTCCAGGCGTAATCTCATCTTATCACATAAACCTGTAGGCTATGGCTAGTAGTAAGATGGATAATTGTAAATCTTTAAAGATAGTACCTGAATATTTATAACTCAAATTAATAGTTTTTTTTCCATAGCTTTCTGAGATCACCCAAGTGTTTTTAAATTGCAATTGATAGAAACAATTAGGGATGTAATTTATCAAATTCTATTTTTATTGGTGGAATAAATACTATGAAATTATATAAATTAAGATTTATAGAAGGTAATATGCATTTACATGCAATTGCTACTTTATAAATCTTAATTAGAATCTATGATGATAATTATATATTCTAAGAATTAGAGAATAATAATATGCAAAATGTCCATGATCGTTTCGTTTTATGAAACTATTAATGGTGGTGATGATGATGATGTTGATGATGATGATGATGGTAGGAGTGGGGTGGATGGTTGGTGATTATGGTGACATCAATCATCATGATGATACAGATGATAATAATAATAATACCTTTATTTGTTCTTTTTTTCCATATAAAACAGTGAATAAAAACAGTTAATAAACCAACAAATAAGTACATAACTATTAAAGGATAACTTTTTTTTTTTAAATTGTTCATGCAAAACATAAACTATTATAATCTAAGTAATTGTTGGCTAACATCTCATTTTCTAATAGAAATATAATTAATAATTATAAATTATGTCAAACACAAAAGCATACACATTATAATAGAGCCTATGTATTAATTTGAATACCTAATATTTTATCTAGTTAGCACAGCAGTAGCAATTAACACTTGCATAAGTTATAATTAATCTAGAAATGTTAACAAAAGCATACTGTGGCCCAGAAATAAGATATTATGCCTAAGTTTGAAATTAAATGAATAATAATGATGTTTGTAAAAGGTATTATAAGAAGTAGGTTAATTGAGATAATGTTTAAATGACAAATTATGCAAATTAGGAAAGCTGTCCATCACTCTATCTAGGTAAGAGTGTCATTTTTTGAAGTCCTTGACAACAACCTTGAAAATTAATTAATAGAAAATCATATTTGTTGCCATTTTTGTCAAGTAAAATCATAAGAAATACACACAAAAGCAGCCGAAGCAGCCTAAACTATTTTTTTCCAAATAGACGTGCACTTATTTCTTATTTTAATTCTTTATTTCAAAAACCACATCAAACAATAACAGAACAGGATGCCTTAAAATTTATTTACATGCCTACATATAAATATATAATAAATATAAAAAGGAAAATATACTTTTGTTATTGTTATTGTTATACAATCTACAGGTAATAAGTTCTTCAATAAAAAAAGACTTGTGATCGTTTAAAAATAAGATGAAGGAAGATAAGTCCTTCGGAGAATTGGTTTAAAATATGCATTCAAAGGTTCTATTGTAAAGTTCCAAATTATGTGATTTTAACATCTAGTAATTTGATGCAATGTCAATAAGATTAGAATAAATAATTTTATGTATGTTATTCTATGTGGAAATAAAAGAACATCAAGTAGTTATTAATGGATGATAGAATATTTGCATAATAGCTGGGATTATAGCCTTTAAGAAAGCTTAGCAAAATTACAAATACAAAATATTTTTCTATAGGTCTTAGGAAAGTGATGCTACATGCCCACCGGCAAGCATGGTGCTGGCAAGATGAATATCACGGACTTACTATTGAAGATATCCGTGAATTAGAAGAGAAAGCGGCACAAGAGCTGGCGGAGAAAATGGCTGCTGCACTCGAAGACGAGGATATCAGTCCGTCAGAGAAAGAAAAAAATAAGAATCGTTCTAATTTTAATCGTACTGGGTATGGAAGGTCAACTAGCAGTGAGAAACGACTACGAGAAACTAGATTGGAATCGTACAGTCAGAGTTTAGAATCAGATGAAAATGATGAGGAAAAAACAGATAATGCAAATGGAACATTTCAAAGAAAGTCTTCAAGACGAAAATCAGCCTCAGCAGGTAATATATAAATGTGTTTTACTAGAATCAAACAGGGTATGTTGATATATTTCTACTTGTAGTATTAATTCTGTATTGTACTGTACTAATCTAAAGGATGAAGGCTAATGCTGTAATTTTTTTTATAATACTCTATATTCTTGTGTCTAAGACAAGGCTTTAAATATAAAAATTACGATTAATAACAGGGAGTTGTCTCCTTCGTGCAAAACATATCTGTTTATCTCACGTGTGGAACTTCCGTCATACGCAAATTTACAAGTGAAAGGAAGCTACAAACTGCTTGTATGAATGTATACAATTTTAAGAGCGGGGAAATACGATTTTGATAAATATTTAAAAGCCCATAAAATGGTTTTACAGTACTTGGAAGATTAGCTGTATATTATTTGGTTCAGTTTTTTGCACGGTAGATGCAGTATCAAGACCATAAAAAGCAGCAAAAAGTAGGAAACAGGGGGTTGTCTTATACACCTGACATATAAAAATCGTCCAAAAATCTTTTGTAACTTAGGAGTCTTGTACGCAGATCACCTTATATGCGCAGGGGTGGCGCCAGCAGGGGAGAAAAGCACAATTCGTCGGGGAGAAAAAAAATTTATATGTATTTTCTACATATTAGTAGACTCTAAAATCGATTAAATAAGCATTTTGAAAACCCTAAATTGTCAAAATTTTCGGGGGCTTCACCCCCAGGTCCACTTTCGAAACCTTTTAATCGAAGCTCGACCATGCCCACTTTGCTTTCGTAGGGAAAATCTGACCCCTTGTCTGGGCATCGCCCCCCCCACCCTTGGGCAAATCCTGGTGACACCCCTGTATACTAGAATATACGGTATCGTGAAACAACCTATGTTATCATCAAAGCAGCTAAATGCACCTACAGAACCAACATCAACATATAAATACTTTTGCAAGATTAATAATTATTGAGGAAAAGTTCATACTACCACTTAATGCCATTCTGCTGAATAGTCTTCTTACCTTTCCACTTTGGCTGCTCTGCTTATTTTCATTGTAAAATCTCTCCATTGTATTCTGTCTGATGCTGTGTTGATGATTTTCTCAAGATCCAATGTTGTGTTGAGTTTTGTTGGCTGTGTTGGTTGTTGGATCTGAAGATTGTAGAGATTTTAAGTCTCTTTTTAGCATAATTGGTAGGTTACACAATGGCCTGACTCTAAATTTTGTGTTTTTGAAATACAGGTTGATTGCTCTGTGTGTAGGCATTTGTTGATATGTCTGAACAGCCACTATCTGCCTTTTAATAGTCTATTGATGTCGGTTTTGCATTAAATCTTAACAGTTTTTGTTTGAGATTTTGTGATGTAATCAAAATCTGATTCCAATTTCTTCTTAGTTGTTTTTTTCTTGTGAAAAAGTAAGAAACTGAATGTAGGCAAAATGCAGTAATAAATAATTAGAAGTATAGTAGTATGCGAACTATACAGCATTGGCGCGTAGGAAATGTATTTCAATTTTTCTGAGAAAAAAAAAATAAAGATGACATAGCTAGTTTCTTTTGCATGCTTTTTATTAGGGAGATTTGTTGCATGTTTTAAGGGCATGGCTTATTCAGTATTGTTATGCATTTGCCATCTTTCACTATTAATTTAAAACAATACTGCTATAAAAAATGAAAACAGACAATATTTAATATAGCTATAATGACGATTATAATCATAGAGTGTGAAAAACATCAATGTTGAAAAGGGAATTCTCACTACAGGTGATTTAAACACAGTGTTTCTACTTCCCAAATCAATTTAGCAAAATCTTCCATGCATAGAATATTACCATACCATACCAATACAAAAAGAAGACAACATATAATAATTAAGATATGTTGTTGTCTGCAAAGTGATGTGCATTTACAATAGAATAGCAATAAACACGCTGAGATAATCCAAAGGCTGTGAGTTGATGTTAGACTATGTCTCATTAGTTATAATATCATATGCATTAAAATGTTGCATAGCCGGCTAAGCTTAGAATAATACAAATTGAAGAATCTGGATTAGATTGCAATATATATATAGACAAACAGTGCCATTACATACCAACGTCAGCCAATTAGTTCCACTATATACATCCATTCATACACATTAAATAAGCACATAGTACGTACACACATTTCTATGCACATTAATTTGGTCTGTGTTTGCTGATCATGTATACATATGCTATACTCTTCATCTACTGTAATTTCTATCCACAAAGATGGATGGTAGGGGCCTGCAGTTTGCCTGCCTTCCATCTCCCCTTAATTTTTGGAAAATTATTCTTATATATAATATAATGTAAGACGTCTGAGAGTGCCATTTCTAGCCATCTAAATTTGAAGTAACCTTAGTCCCAATGGTGTGGCTGAGATAGTCTGGACAATCTATCTTCAGAAGTCCATTCTAGGGCCAACTCCAAATTTCTAATTCCTATATATGCCACTGATCCCTACTCAACATCCATGCATATGGCAACCATTCTCTTCATCTACGGACACTACCATGCCATGCCATTCTCATTATCATGTAACAATCATGCACATAAAATAATCATGCATATTTTATTACCTTCACCAACGAGGTATATATTTACCCCTGTCAGCAAGATCTTAGAAAGAGATGAAACTTTTGGGAAGAAAAGAACAAAGGACAAGATAAGGACAAGGTCACAGAATTTTTTTTTCTTTTTACCCATAAGCATGAAAAAAAACCATGCATGGCCTGCGTATTGTTCTGTATTTAGCAACAGGGCAGAAAATAATGGAATCACCCATCATACACGGTCTGTGTATTGTTCATTATTCGGGCACAGGGTGGAGGTACTATATTCACTTTATGGAGTGACTGCTCCAGTTAATTTGTTTTGCATTGTCTTTCTTTTTTTTCTCTCCTTTCTCTTTTGAAATTTTATATGCAATTTGTGAATCCCAAGCATTTCAGTCATATTATTAAAATTAAAAAATTAAGAAATAAAGTTTATTCATGTATCATCCATTTTCATTGTTCCTTCATTCAGGATATTATAATCTTCAGGTAGATATAATAAGCCAATTCATAGTTAGAACTGCATTTGCTTGAATCCAAGGTCAATCAATTATGTTGTGTGTGGTGTTTTTGTCGATTGACCTTGACATGTGCATTTCTAACTTTGAATTGCTTTATAAACAGCTACATCATTGTCCTATATTCCCTTTTCCAAATTGATGGTACTGAAATATTGATATACTTTTATTAAATATTTATTTTATTTTATTAATATTCATTAGTGGACCAGCCAATAAATTTTGTGGTGCTCTATAAATTTAGACTCATTATGATTCAAGAAATGAAGTTGTTGTTGCCGTGAGAACAGTTCTGGTGCAATCCAGGAACCTGGGATCAGCTTGTTTCTAACTAGAGAGTTTCCTGTAAAAGTATCCAGATACATTATGCATTTTCTGACATAGTAGTAAGCAGCAATCACGTGTAGTAGATTGCTTTCGTATTAGTCTGCGGTCAGCTTACTGGTATATGTTGATACTATGTACAAGGGACAAGGCTCATAAAAATGTGCTGGTTAAACAATGAGGATATTCCTCAAGTCATTGGTCAACCTGTTATAAATCATTATCCAGGCACTGGTAACTTACCTGTAAGCATCTATCTACAAACAACTATATCCAGGCACTGTTTATTATCTGTAAAAAGGTACTGCCTCTTATCTGTAAACAAAGTCATATCTTAAAATTCAGTTTTGCTTTTCTTGTTTTCTAGAAGCCTCAAGTAAGAACCAGATGATGGCTCAGTGGAGGATGGACAGTTTGCAGGCTGATTCGGATACCTCGGATGAAGAGTTTTTTGATGCCCAAGGTGATTTTTTGAAATGTTCATATTTCATCTTACGAATTATATTTTTTATTCCATAATTGATTAATTGCTGTTCGTACACATAACCAATGTACTTGCTGCTCTAAATATCTCTCTGTGCAGGTCAGTAACCAGGTTTATGTGAAGTGGTTTCCTGTAGTAGGTAACTCAAGGTTAAAATAAAATACTAAACTGTTTAAAGAGGGTTGTTCGTGCAAACCCCCAAAACCCACCTTGGTTACAGGCCTGCTGTGAGTTGTTTTAAGCAGGGCGTGCACTGTGCCGACACTGGTCGTCAGTAACGTGATGAGATGCGCACAACGGATAATTTTAAGAAAAAAAATACTAGTGTCTAAACAGGATTTGAACCCAGGACAAGCTACAGTTCCAAAATTTTAATTTCTTACATTTTTGTTCTTACAGAAGATATGGAGGATGCCCTTGAAGAGTTGACTCATTGGGGAACAGCTTGCAATCTCGGAATGGGTGATGGTAAGATTTTCTTTATAAGAGATGAATTTGAATAACTCATTATAAAATGTTAATTTAGTTATGAACGTATAATGATAAAAAAGAAATGGAAGATGATGGAACACAGTTTTTGTTGGTTTACAAAAATTATTAAATTTAGATAACATAGAGTTATATCAAAGCGAAATGGAAATAGCTCGTCATTTAAGTGTTTTATTGTATTTTTATCCTTGGATATTGTTTTGCGTACAGAATAAAGAAATACAAATAGAAAAGTATTAATTAGTCTTAAATCATGTTAGTTTTCAATTAAAATATGTTTTTTAAATAAGTATTGATCATATTCAACTTATTGCAAAAAAAAAAAAAAGAATAAATATAAAATATTGGCAGTAGGAAGTTGAAAAACGGGTTGAACTAGTTGAGTTTAGTTTAACCCCCTTTTTCAATGAGAATACAAATTCAAAATTTTAATCTAAAATTGTCCATCCTACAGATCTTGAAGCATCCAGTGATACAGCTGACCATTCAGATGAAGGCTCTGCTTTCGTCAATGACACTTCATCACCGCTACTGACCACCTCCACAAGTGTCCTGTTCATTGTCCTGCATGGTGGTAATATCCTTGATGGTGTCCAAGAGTTCAGTGCCAAACAAAGTGACATAAACACGTTTAAGGCATCGTTTGATGCCGTCATCCGAGCTCATTTTCCAGTCGCTGTTGATCATGTTGCAGTCCGCTGGGTTGCTTGTCCTTCAGTTTGTTCAGATGCCGTTGCGCTCCTTTCGGGGTTTGTCATTTTTGTTCTATCTCTATCGTTCGTAACATAGATATCAAAATGTGTTCAATTAACTTTCTATGACAAATACTTAAATTAATGATGATAATGCATGGACAAAAAAATGATTATGTATTGTGTTACGCCATGAGAATGGCTATGAAAGAACTGTAATAATATTTATTTAGGCTTACACTTTTACATCAGTGGCACACTTTGAAAAACAAAAGTTACAAAAAAAAAAATACAAGATACATCAACAACTAAAGCTTAAAACCAACTTAAAACAGCTTAAATTAACCCCCTCCCCCCCATGATTCAAATGTTATCTGTATTAAATGAAACATTGATATATTTTGAACATGCTACAAATCTTTTTCAGAATTATTCATGTGGTATACTGCAAAAGCTGGTTTACACTATTATAAATATAATAAAAATAATGAAATAATAAATATTCGCAACTATGATCTATTCAGGAAATGACACTTGAAGGTTAAAACCACTAGAAGAAGGCCACATTTGTGACGTAGTATACATTCTGTGATATAAGCATTATTATGTGTCTGTTGAACCAGGAAAATATTTTTCAATTTCAAAGCAGTATTTGCTTAAATAAATATACAGACTAAGTAATTCCATATATGAAAAATTTTTTCAAGACCAATAATTTAGTAATTTTATGATATCCAACCTTTGAAAATATAATTTCATCTAATAAAGGAGGTTTTTCTGTACATTTCTGATACATTTTAATTTGTGTTAAATTGTTTTATTTCAGTCTGAATCCTTACAGTATTAGTGCAAGGTACAAGTCAGGGGAGAATGGTGGGTCCGCTGCTGATTTCATCCCAATTGGTGCATTGCCGTTGCTCGTCACTGGTTGCCCCCAGTATAGTGGTCATGTGACTACAGTGATCAACAGGGCAAATATTGTGTATCATGAGTTTGTGAAGTCTCCGGAGGGGCAAGGTTTTAATGGCCAGGTAACTCTGATAGATAACTTGGGCTTGCAGAACAAGACATGTACTTAAAGAAGGATGGTTAAAGTATAGATATATCAAAGTTCTCCCAAAGCCTGATTTGCCGCAATTATTTGGCAGTATAAAATCTTGCAAGAATGCGTCGATTATTTCCAGCACAATAGAAAACGGTACCTCCTTTAAACGCTATACATGTCCCAAAGAAATACCCGAATAGATTTTGTACTGCCAGAAAGAATACAATAAAATAAAATAAATAAAACATCATTTTTCCTAACCTTGGTTGGGATCAGTAAGTCTCTCATCACGCAATAACACATTTTGATGGTAATCATGAGTTACAGTTCCACTTACAGTGAAATTAAGGGGCATTTATTTGAGTATAATCCATTTTATAACAGAAAAATTATTGTCTCCTTCGATTAAACACCCCCTCAAAATTCCTCCACAATGAACGCCCCTGGGGAATTATTTGAATAAATACAATACTTGCCTTTCAATCCATGAGCCCTTGGTTTAAATCTTGGCACTTTCTAACCCTCATAATGTTTATGTTAGAGCATCTTGTATATTTTTTTGTGTTGGGAGAAGACATTTTGTATGGACTCTGTAACCATTGACTATTTGGTTCTCTATTATTGACTATTGCCATTCTGTACTTAAATAATTCATTCTCTCCCTCCCAAATAATAGAACCATGTTTGATTTCCAAAGAAAAAGGAACTTTGAGGGGTGTTGTTGAAATGGTACAGTGGGAGTACAATAGTCGGTTTATCCAAATTAGTATCTTACAATGTCATATTTGGTGTGAGTAATCTATTAATAATGATATTAATTTTCAACAGATATGCTTAATAGGCGACAGTGTTGGAAGTATTCTTGGCTATGATGCACTATGCAGAGGCGTTTCCATACCGTCCTCAACATCGAGTACATGTGGAAGTCAGGCCAGTATTGATGACTCCGATGCCTTAACAATCAACTTCCCATCACCTTCTGTCCATTCTCCATCTTTCCCAAATGATCAAATTCGTTCCAACAGTCAAAGCTTCACCAGTGCTAATGAATTTAACTATGAGAGGCCAGTCCTCCGACGTAAAAGCGAGACAACTGCTCCTTTAAGAACCTCGCATCGTAAACGTTTTTCCAACCCATGTGTTCTGAAAGAAGTAAGCTTCACAGAGGATATGCCTTTACCCACGCCATTCTATGAACATACTGAGAGTGTGGCGAGTTTTGATTCTACGGTGGATAAGAACTTGCCTCGTCTGGAGTTTGAAGTTGGAAACTTTTTTCTCTTTGGGTCTCAACTGGGGATCGTTATCACTCAGCGTATGTTAACATATAGAGACAAGTCAGGTAAGAGTGATACATTCTATTGAATGCCTGCTAAGTTTACTTCATCTTTCTTAATGTTTCTAAAATTAATTGGCCAAGCTGTTTATATTTTTTTCATAAGAAATCGGAGCACTGGTTTCTGGAGAGTGAGTTTTGTGACGAGGTCAGACTTTAAACCTTTATACAAACTTAATATAAATTAATATAGATTCAACCATATGTTTTAAAATATTAAGTTAATATTTATTAATTTTTTGTTTTATAATTATAATTACAAGAAATTATTTTACACTGTAGTGATTTATAAATCCTATGAGTAATAAATGATAATATATAACATAAATACAGCAGTGTAAAATATACCAGAGCTTTGATGCTTTGAGTAACTGCAAATGTCTTATAAAATTTTGTAAAACCAAATATAATATAAATACTAAAATATTCCTCCAAGCCAAGATTTTTTAAAATTTTTTTTATTGTTTCCTATTAAGTTCATTTTCTTTTGTTGCTATTCCAAAAATATCACATACAGTCATCAAAGATAAAAGAGCACCACAAATGAGGCTAGATTTTGACTAGGGATGTTATGCTGGTATGCAATCTAACTAAGCTATGCGTCATAGGACATAGGACTCCACTAAAGTCCTAATGACCTGCATACCAGTATAATATCATACATGCCTTTTTTTCACGATAAATTTGAAGCAAAAAACCCCAAATATTTTTGTCATTTTAGCTCCACCACCAAAACCAGCCTGTGGACAAGTTTTTAACATGTTTCATCGGACCGATCCATCTGCCTCAAGAATTGAGCCACTTCTCCACCAACGTTTCTCTCTGCTGCCCCCATCATGGGTCGAGCGCTATCAGAAGTTTCCATTAGGAGATGGACATACAGTAAATCTTGGTAAAAATCACAGTTTACCTCATAATGTATTGGCTCATCTAATACTTAATATTTTTTTTTTATCTAATGATAAGAAGAGTAAATCTCAAAGTAGGCCATTTCTGATTGGTTGATTGATACATCGATTACTCAATAATCATTTTAACACCTACATTCCATTTTTACAAATTTCTCTTTTACAGGTGATGTGATACAGAGCAACTCTTACTTGTTCCTAGAAAACATAGCTGGGTGCTTAGCTGGGAATGCGATGGCAAGCCGCGGGAGTATTTGTAGCCAGCTGTCAATTGATATGGATGCGAATGGCGTCAGCCACATAGCAAGTTGTGAGTCATCTTTGTGCTACCTCAACATGTCGCCTCCTGCCTGTCATTTTTGTCATTCTCACATTATGCTTTTGTGGTGGCACACCACCTTTAGTCATTAATCTTATAATTTTAAGTTTTTTAAAGCTAAACTATTTTAACAGAATAACAAGCAAATTGTACTTGCCTTTTATTTGACTCTGCTAAACAGATGTTGCCTGTACCTTATCCTCCTTGATTTATATTTGCCAATCTGATGAGTTGTGTTTGATGTGACTGATAAAACATTTTTTTCAATTTTTTGAAAACATCAGGCATTAATTAAAAAAAAAATGATAAAAATTGGGGGGAAGGAAGCAACAATTGCATTCAAATTTATTTCTTTTTTTTAAATTTTATCTGATTCAATTTCTAAGTAAACTAATTACAAAGAAACAATGGAAGACAAAATGAAAGATCCAGCTGAATAGTAACAGTACGCTGGGTTTTGCCAAAAAAAAGTAAAAAACACTATAAGATTGGCTGTACAATACTGCACATAATCAAACTAGCACAAATACAATGATAAAGACTAACTTTAAGTTAAAATAATTTTTGGTTAAAATATTACTAAAGATAAGATGACTAAGATTCTAAAATTTGGGAGTGCCATTGGACATAACAGTTTGTTCCTCAGCCCCAACTCAGTAATAGAGACAAGGTAAACTGCATAATAAAAATTGGGAGAGAAAAGACAATTGCATTCAAAGTTTGAGAGTGCCATTTCCAGCCATCTTGAGTTTCCATAGATATAACATGTTGTGCCTTAGCCCCTACTCAGTAAAAGAGACAAGGTAAAGAGCACTTTGCAGACTAAACATTAACTTTACAGGCTTTCATTCAGGCAAGTAAATTACTTTATGCGACTATTAGCAGAGATGCACTTTAGTCACCTGATGAATTTCACTGCAATAATAAAAGCTTGCGGGTATATAGAATGAAGTTGTTAGTCTGTAAAGTGCTTTCATCCTCGTCTTTATTACTCTGCATCTAGACTAAAATAGCTTTCCAATATCTATATATTTAGTCAGTGTTTTTACACAGCCATCTCATATTCATTACTGTCTGGGATTTCATTCTAGTCACTGTAAAAACAATATCACTGCTCACGGTTGAAAGAACTTATTTTATAAACACATATGTTAAAAAACTTAAACAACTAATTACAGGTATTTCTTTCTATACCACACGTTTAGCTTCCAAATTCTTTATTATTCTTTACTTAAATCTAATTTTATTTATTTTTTCATGTACATTCTGTTATGCTTTAGTACTCTAATGTGGTGTAGACTGTTAGATGAATGTTTGTCTGAATGTTTCTGTGTCTAATGTAATGATGTTCTTCTCTCGACAGTTGTTAACTCCATCAGCAGCAAATGGTGGGGTGACAAGCGTTTAGACTATAGCCTTTACTGTCCAGAAGCTTTGCAGTCATTCCCTACCGGAACATTGCCACATTTGTTTCATGCAAGCTACTGGGAGTCTACTGACGTCGTCGCTTTTATCCTTAGGCAGGTAAGTGATCTCTCAGTGGTTCTATTAAGATGATTTATGTTTTAAGATGGAGTATGTAAGTGCTTTGAAATATCAACAAAAAAATAGGCCACACTCACTTTGTGGTGAAACCAATGCACCTAAGAATGAAGTTCAAGAAACACATCATAGAACAAGAACAATATACTTAAACGACTTAAAGGTGATATAACAATTTATAGTTAATTTTTCCTCCATTATTATAGGTAAACATTACATGAATGAGTATAACTCAAAATATAACTTTTTAGTGATATCATAGGGAAGATTAATAATAATAATAAAATCTTTCTTCTACAACGGAAGCTCATTCACCAAGGTGGTGTTCTTCCACGAAGCCGTATATGTACCTTTTACATATGAAAAAAAACATATATAAAATGTACAGATGATGATTATCAGATAATGATAATTTATTTATTCTTTTATATTTTAGTAATATTAATTAATTTGATACTAGTAAAAAATATTTTACAGTAAATATTTGTGTAGTTGTGGCAGAAGTAATATGCAATCTATCGTGTACCGGCTCCAGACTAGTTGTTATTGTTTTCTTATTGCTTTTTATTTGTATTTTATTAAATTGTTATCACGATAACTAAAGTTTGGTTAAGTCTGATAGGTTTCAAACTTTGCACAATGCAAGATGGTAATAAGAAAACTGAACCTATTGTTTTTGGAACATGTGTGAATATGCTAATTGTTTATTTGCATAATTAATATTTCACTAATCAGGTAATTTATGCTTGTTACCATGTTAACTAAAATTAGGTAAGTCTGATTGGTTTCAAACTTTGAACAATGCAAGATGGTAATAAGAATATAAAGCCTATTATTTTTTGGTACATGTGGGAATATAGGCTAATTGTTCACTTGCATAATGAATATTTCTCTAATCAGGAAATTTACACTAAATGCCATCATAATTCCCCCAAAAATTTATAATTTAATAATTTAATATTGAAATTGTAATATTTTTTCATGTGTTTGTCGTCGTCGCTATTTAGTAAATTGTTTGGATAATGAAAACTCCTACTTATCAGTTCTGGGGAGGCTACGCTTTTACTACACAGCGTAGAAGGAGAATTTCTAGTTATTATTGTTATTATTATAATTGTTATATTCAAATTATAAAATTTGCTATTTTAGGTATTCCAAAATGATCATTCAAGTTTGTATGCTGGGGACAGAAACATATCAATGTTCTCTCCAAACCAACCCAGAGAAAAGTGGCAGAGAAAACGAACTGCAGTTAAAATGAAAGTAAGTAATATAAAACAGATTACACAATATCTTTATTAGTCTGAGGTGCAGATTCAAGAATGGTCCACACACACCCCCCCCCCCCCAAACCCCAAATTTATGAAATTTAAAAATAAATTGGACAAAAGAATATTACTACCATTTTTCCTCAGCCACAACTAATGCTGGGACCCCAAATGTCCCTGCCTGGACCCCTCTCTATTTAAAATTCCTGGATTCACTACTGATTCCTATTTAGTTTTGAAAGCAATGTACAGTTTTACATAATAATGCTTAATAATATTACGGTAATATTCAGAAATATTTAAAAATCAATTTTAATAATATATCAATTTCCTTATCATCAATCACGTAAATATAATCATCTTAATGTATAAGAAACGGAGGTTGGAAATCAGAAAGACCTCCCGCAATCCCACAAGCAAGAATGTCTGCGAAAATAATCAGTCTTTCACAAATTTATGATATTTACATGGTTTTACAAGTTTTTACCACTCTATCATCAATTGTCTCCTGGAAGTCAGTGCTAAGAGGTATCACTATCTACAGCAATGAGATGGGTTAAGAAACCTCATTTAAACAGATCTCCCGGATGTGGGATCCCTAGATAATTGAAGAAACAGTTCCTATAAATAATCTTGTTGGTCCTGTCTATCAACACTTCAAATTGAAACAAACAAAACCCAAAGCGCTGACCCGTGAAGATTCTTGGTTACATATTCAATCCCATTCAAATCCCTAGTGTTTTATCTAAAATACAGGTTAGTGTACCATTGGTCTGCTGGGGATCAAGACTTGCGTGTATGTTACAAGAATTATGTCTGCTTCATCGTGCCCTTAGGGCTAACCATACATGGAAGTGTGTTTTTTTATTTAAGTAAACTGTTTTTATTTGGTTTCTACTTGTTGTCAAGAGATTTAATGTAGTCACACTTACTTCTGGCGACAGTGGGTTTTTACATTTTTCCAACTACCTGCATGGTTTTTCTCATCATTTTTTTTAAATTTCCTTATATACCCAATAAATAAAATGAAATAAATAATGAAACAAGTGCAGGAAATATACCCAATTTTAGTAATTTAAACAAGTTTTTCTGTGACATGTGAATATTGCCATAAATGAAAACACATAGGGTTGGCATAACTCAAAATATATACTGTATTATTTAGACTTATTGAAGTTATTGATTTAGAAGTATTGAATATTCATTAGAGGGTGGAAGTCAATGAATACATATTTTTAAATATAGTTTCCAAACTTTTGTGTTTTACAGACTTCTATTTTATTTTTGTTTACTTTTTAGCAAAGCACACATCCTAATCATCGTGCCAATGATGTCATGGTTCTAGAGGGTGATGATCAAATTATTACAGCTCGCTTTATGTATGGTTCACTTGATATGGTGACACTTACAGGAGAAAAGGTAACATACTTATATTTTCCAGTCTATTTATGATAATAATTTTGTATTTGAACAATCTAATCAAAAGAGGATTTTATAATAATTGACTAGTCTGATTGCTTGATGATGTTTGTGCAATTTTTAAACACCTCTGTTACTTATACATTCTTATAGCACGTGTACATACTAATCTATTCGGTTTCAACAAAATGTTTTGATCGATGTATATGTGTAAAAATTATTGCCATTTTGTTTGTTGAAACTTCTCACTATTAAATACCCAGGTAAAAAGTTGCTATTTTATTGGTGATCTGCTCCGCTAGCGGATCACCTATTGTTATTGTCAGAGATCTTCTTTTTTTTTCCCATTTCTTGTTAGCACGATATCTAAAAATTGGCACGAGATTCATACATGCACGCTTCAACAAAGATTTAGCTTGGCCTGGAATAGTCACAATAAGGTTTTCAAAGTGCGCATTTATGCGTGACGTCATCTACGCGCATTTTTGCGTTTTTACATTATCGATCATATCAGCCTAACCAATTGCCATTTCGAAATCGTATTAAGTGAGCATTAACTTCAAGTCAATGTTAAATGTAATTTACCCTAATTTTACGCATGCGCGTCATAACGCGCGCGTCAAACTTTTAAAATGCTCGAAATCACATTTAGATTAAATTAGAGCACGTTTCAGGCCATTTTGAGCATTTCAATTTTTTTTTTAATTTACCACTATGCGTGCGCATTTTTACGCGAAGCTAGAAATTAATTTTTTTTGGTCACATTTTGGGTTCCTGACATTGTTTTGACAAGTTTCCAATCTTTTCAATCACTCTATGGCCAATAACAATGCCGTACGCATGCATCAAACATAGTGACCTTTGAGCGCATTTGTGCCGATATACAATGAAATTTTGCTAAAATTAGGCCTAAGTTTAAACAGTTACAGCTCTTTAGGATGAAAGGTGACCCCCAATTTTTATTACATATTCTGAAAGCACATGAGTTGTAAATATGATTTTATAGGTCATAATGGCTGATCGGACATTATGACGTCATCATATTGCCATCTGAATTCAACAAACTGAATATTATTGATGACCTCATTTTAGCAAATGCGAATTTGAGCGTATCTCGCTTATTCTTGATCAATTGTCTTCCAACTTTGAGTATGTTGTAGCTGAGGCAATTCTCTTTCATGTATGTGACATTTTTTTTACATTTTGGTGACGACATCATGGTCAAAATATTGGGTTTTTCTTACCCCCCCCCCCATCTTTCTTTTGTCCAGCCCTTGATGACCCCATAATCACCTTAATCAGTCGTGATTTCTGAATCATATTTAGTGGGTATAAACTTCAGGTCATGGTTTAATGTTATGTACATTATATATTTGTGCGCGCGTAATAACGCGAGCGTTCGCGTGCGTCAAAATTAATATATGCTTTATATCATGTCTTTTTTTAAATCAGTTATAGCTCCTTAGGATGAAAGGTGACCCCTAACTTTTATTACATATTCTGAAAGCACATGAGCTGTAGATATGATTATATATATCATAATAGCTGATCGGACATTGTGACGTCATCATATTGCCATCTGAATTAAAAAACAAGAAAAAAATTCTATTTCTTTTCTCAAAACGTTGATGACGTCATATCATCTTAACCATTTTGTCATTTCTGAATAATATTAAATGGGCTTATACTTCAGATCAAGTTTGAATGTTAGATATCTTACTTTTTGTTTGCGCGTCTTAACGTGCGCGTACGCGTGCGTCAAATATTACATATGCTTATAATTATGCCTATTTATAATCAAATATAGCTCCTTAGGATGAAAGGTGACCCCCCATATTTATTACATATTCTAAAAGCACATGAGTTGTAGATATGATTTTATATATCATAAAATAGCTGATCGGACATTGTGACGTCACCATATTGCCATCCTGAAGTAAAAAAAAACTGAATTTTTATATTATAAATAGTATGATTGATCATTACTCCTTCACCAACAGGCGTTTGTCAATGAAAGTTGATACATATATATCTCATATCAGGAAACAACAGTGACATTAAGATGCGCACGTGCGTCATGACGTGCGCGTACGCATGAGTAAATCTTTTAAAATGCTCAAAATTCTTTTTTAACAAACTAAATTAGCGTATTTTGCCATTATCAGCATTTAATTATTGTTCAATCCGCCTCGCGCACACTTCCTCGTGGGTCAAAGTGCGGCGGATCACCTAACTCAAATCTAGTTCTTTCATTGTTGATGTTCAGAATAATTATTCAACAATAATAATAAAACAAGAGTACAATTTAGTTTTGTCATCACCATTCCTTGCTAAAATATAGATATTCAAATTGTGACCTGGTCATGTGGCCTAACCTTCTGTCATTTTGTACTTTCCTATTGTTCATAATCTTAAATCCAGTTTTTGCAGTTGTGCTGTAGTTTATTAGCCACATGTTACTTAAAATCATATAAATGATCCTAGAAACTAACCCAACTGTATTGGTGCAGGTTGACCTCTTTGTGATGACCCAACCTCCGAACGGTGAGTGGGTGCACTTTGACACACTCACTACCAACAACCATGGACGCATAAATTATATCATACCACAGGCACGCAGACTTGGTCATGGTATATACCCAGTCAAGATGGTTGTCAGGTAGGAATATTATATTATATAAAAATACAAGAACAACCAATTACTGGGGATGAAAAAGGGACTTTTTAGAGGGATAATTTGCATCCAAGAGAAAGTAAATTGGATGAAGTTAAACTTTAATGGAAATAATATGAAGATTTTATGTAGAGCCTAATACTCCTAAAAAATAAGTATGCTCACATTGTCTTTGCCACAAGAAAGAAGATACAAAGGCTGCGATGAAATCCATTTTGTTGATATACATGCAACAATAAAAAAACACTAATGCACATAAAGGCTGAAATCAGTGCCTCTTTGCCTCTCTATTCTTATAATTATATTTATTTCCATTTCTTCAGGGGGGATCACACGTCTGCGGATTGTTACCTTACTGTGCTGCCACCATGCACTGACTGTGTTGTGTTCAGTATCGATGGGTCATTCACCGCAAGTGTCTCAATTATGGGTCGTGACCCCAAGGTTAGAGCAGGGGCAGTGGATGTAGTCAGGTAACTTTTTTTTTATGTTAATTAATATTAAGTTACTTAGTATTCATTTAAAAAAAAATTAATATTTAATTAACATTTATTTTATTAACATTCAGAATATAAAAAATAATTATTGATGGAAGTAGTTTTATTCTGCCAGAGGAAAGACATAGGATTTTAAAAAAAATCATATTTCCTCATTTATTCGAATCCAAGACCCGCTGATTATTGTTTGGATGCTCTAGCAATAGTGCTATGAGGCCAACGTGGTGTACTCATAAAAGTCATGTGATCTGGCTATTATGCATTCCATAGTTTCCAATAGTTTGATAAAGAAATGAATCCTGATTGGTAAAACTGAAATGGTATGACACAAGAACACAATACAGTAGCAATAACAATGACTTTTTTCTAAACTTTCATTTTAATAATAATATTTATTTTCTTAAAAATTGTTGTATGCCCATATGTTCATGATGTGCCTCTATATTGTTATAATGTGATGTCATCGTGACCATATTTAGGCATGTCATTTGTTTTTGTCTAAACAGGGTTTTATGTGACAAAACACTGTAATATGACCATATGTTGGTGTATTATGACATTATCATGCCCATATATGGGCACATCACACAGATTTGTCACATAAAATTTAATAATGCTGACAGAGTTTTGTCTTACTTTTCTGAATTCAACAGACATTGGCAGGAACTGGGCTATCTGGTTATTTACATTACTGCAAGACCTAGCATGCAGAAGCAGAAGGTTGTGGCCTGGCTGGCCCAGCACAACTTTCCTCATGGCATGGTTCAGTTCTGTGACAGTATCACCACAGACCCCCTTCGACAGAAAACAAACATCCTTAAAAACCTAATTGACAATGTAAGTGTTTAAAATGATATGTTATGGTGGTGTGGTGATGATAATTATGGTGACGGTGATGAAGGTTGTGGGGTGAGGATGGGTTTTTGTGGTGGTGATTATTATGGTGGTGGTAATTATGATGTTGTTGGTGTTGATGGTGATGATGATGATGGAGGTTGTAGTGGTGATGTGAATGATGGTGGTGGTGAGGGTGGTTGTATTGGTGATTATGATGGTGGTGGTGCTGATGGTGGTGGTGATTGTGCAGTTGGTAGGTGGTAGTAATGGTGATAATGATTTTAACATAATTAGTAAGAAGAAAACATCAAAAGTAGTTATATAAACTAAAATAATGTCATGTATGTGTATGTCAAATCTCTCTCAAATAGAGATTAAAACTATTCAAATATTTAGTATAATAAGCAATTAGTAGAGCCCCGCATAGTACACTATAGGAAAATTATTATACGAAGGTTAGATTTAATGCTTGAAAAAATTTCCTGAGGGCCTGCGCGTCCACTAATAGAAAAATTAGTGGACGCTGGGGAATAAGCAAATAACATTGGGCGTTACAGTGATGATGTCACGATTGACTTCAAATAATGATTAATATTAATGTTGACGTCACGTTTAGGCACGTATAGTGATACATGCAGCTTATGGTTCTGGTAAAGACATCTCAGTGTATTCATCAGTTGGAATGAAGGCAGAGCAGATATACATAATTGGCAAAGCTTCCAAGAAGCACCAGAGCCAAGCACAGGTAAAGTTCATTATATAAAGAGTATTTCTTATGAAAAATTCTATACATTTTTTGGCCTTGGATGTGAAACCTCCTTTTGCCAGGTGACCATGACAATTGCTCTGTAGTGTTGGGTTTGATACATTTTATTTCAGTTTATTATTGAAATTTCTCTATCTTCTATTTTAAGGAGTAGAAGTAGTTTAGTCATATCATTTTTTTTAATTCTCTTACTCCTCTCATATATTACATATAATATTAAATGAAGTACAACATATGGTAACAAGGGAGTACATTCCTTATTTGGTAAAATATTCATGCATATATTTTTTACCAGTTTTTCTCACTGTTGATATTTATCATTTATATTTATCAACAGCTGCTTTCTGATGGTTACTCGGCTCATTTAGAACACTTAGTTCTCACTTCATGCCCTTCGGCAGGTAATTCTCGTATGGTGCTACGAAAAGGTTGCTTCTCCTTGCCAGGATTCGGGTCCTCTGCTCGCAGTGCGAAGACCACCGCTTATCGATCAAAGTCGTACCAGTGCACAGCAATTCCAAGCGGTCATGGTTACGGCTTGGGCCCACGATCAATGAGTCAGAGCGATCAAAGGCTACCAAGCAAATGAAAACGGTTTTTAAAGTGAAGAATGTGTCATATTTGGCTTAAATATAGATTGTTAGAGGAGAGAATGTATTTTTGATATTGTGAAATTCACAGCATGGCTCAATAGGGTGCAGATATGGTTTACTGAAGCCAATGTTGAAAGATTTCCAAACTGAAGATTGTTAGACTTCGCGATGGAGAATTCAAGAATTTTCTTGAGGGACTGGTTTGAACGATTGAATGATTTTGTAGTGAAGCTGGTCTGTATATATTTTGCTATTGTTATCACTGTTATATTTTTGCAATAGAACATTTATTGGTTGATCCATCCAACTCTGTGAGATATATACATTTATTGTATGTTGAGCGTAATCTTCCTGCTTGTGTACCAATATGAAATTTCTTTTGTTAAATAACAATGTTTAAGAAATAAATTGTATTAAAGAAATGCATTAAAAAATAATGCAAACTTGTTTTTATATCTCAGCAACCATAGACATATCAAGCCATGTATAGTCCAGGATGTACTTGTAACACACATATTAATTCTATTAAGTAGAAAACTCTATTCTTTCATTATCTTAGGCTGGTATATATTAGATGGAAAAACTGATTGTGATAATTAACCAGTTATTTGTTGATGTTTTATTTTTTTTAAATACGATATTATACTTTCACATTGAAGAGCAAATAAACTTATTTTAAAGCCAAATGAATAGAGTTATTTTTAGAAAAAAATCCCTGTAATTGATTTAAACATTAGATTATTATCTAACAAGTTTCTGAACCACCAAGCTAGTACAGTTGTACTCTTTTGATGATTTAATATTCTGTATATGAAGGTCATATAAACATACAAGTATCTTTGCTGCAAATTTTTGATGGCCATTTTTAAGTTGTTTGCTGTTGTAAGATTTTCAACCAATCAGAACTAACTGATTGTTACTTTGAGCTATTAGTATTCTGGATTGATCAGACTTTACTGAGATTTTCCTGACCAATTTTACTGTAGAAGATATTAGGTCGATTTCCAGGTCATCCAATGGAGGCCAAATTATGTTACTTTATCTTTGTATACTTTTATCAAATGTCGAATATGTTGGACTAATAGTGTAAAAATGTGCATGTGCATTAGGAAGGTATATTACTTGGAATGGTGTGCCAGCTAAATGAATAATGTGTGTTTAAACATCATCATATGACAACACCCACTCAAATTTAACATTAGAATATTTAAATACTCAGAAAGTGTAATGCCACTATAAAGGCCTGTTTATACTATAACGATAACGATAAAAAAGATAAAAAGCGATTGTTTTTATAGAAAATAAAAGAAATAAGAGAATTTTTTACACTAGGACGATTCGATAACGATTTATCGTGTATATGATAACATATTTTAACAAATCAAATCAAATGACGTCACAATCATGGAAAAACGATAAAATCGTTGCTAATACTACGATTTTAATGTCTTTCCATGGTTTTGACGTCATCTGATTTGATTTGTCAAAATACGTTGTTATCGTATAACAAATAAATCGATATCAAATTGTTCTAGTGTAAAAACTTCTCTTATTTCTTTTATTTTCTGTATGAACAATTGCTTTTTAGCTTTTTTATCGTTATCGTTAAGGTATAAACAGGCCTTAAGAATTTTTAATTATGAGCAAGACTAATTTATTACCTTAGACAACAAATTTGATCTTTCTATAAAAGCCATGTTACTAGTACATATCTGTGTAATGATGGTACTCTATGTATTTTTTTACTATGTTATTGTTAAACATAATTTTGTAATTTTTATTTTATTTGTAATGAAATTTGCTATTTTGTCCTTATTTCTGTTGCCAGTGCAGTTATGATGACGGAAATTGGGATTAAAAGGATGACTATGATGATGACGAGGATGATGGTAGTGATAATGAGGTTGATTATCGTCCTCATTATCATCATCCGCATCACCAATTGTCATCATTAAAATCACCGGAATCATCAGCATCATTATCTTCCACATCATTATCATTATCAGCATCATTGTAATTGTCAAAGCGGCATCATCATCATTTGTCATCATCGTCAATATTGTTGTATATCATCATCGTAGTCAGCAGCATTATCGTCATCATCATTGTCATAATTATCAACATGATTCTACGATGATATTATTATTATTATTATAATTTCTTTATTGTGTTAATGTTGTATATATATAATTGTTTGTGGGATTTTTTTTATATTGATAATGCCCTATTATATAATTTTTTTTTTAGATTTCAATTTTAAATAAATGTGTAACTCATTTTTGGAATGATATTCAGAATGACAGTAGTAATAGTAGTAGAATTAGTGGTAGTAATAGTTAAATAGTAATAGTAATATATTTCAGTAAATACTCATATAAAGTGTACAAAAGTCTGCATTAACATCAAGTGCTAATAGGTTTGTTCTTTGATGACAATTGTGCAATCGGGCAACGTATGTATTTTATGTGTGTGTGTTTCACCTTTTGTGTCTTCACACCAACAAAGTTAGTGGTAGAGAAATTTTGGTGTATATTTCAGAGAGGGATTATATAACGGTTCAGTAAGATAAAACATTAAGCTTCTAAGTGGTGTTGTGTACAAAAAAAAATCAGATTTATATCAGAATAGGCACTATAGACAGCGTTGTAATTTTGTATCGTTTGCATTTTATTCTTTATTTCAAAATATATTAACAATGGATTCAGAATAAAAAATTCAGAAAATTTACATACCACAAAAACCAGTGGTGGATAGATTGGGATGTCCAACAGTGGTTTAATATGGATTATATATCTTTGACAGGATTTGTTCTTAGGTTAGAAACCGAGAGGGGCGATCATGATTAATTAATATTAATTGAGTATACAGTGCTAATGTGATGCATATGCCTACTTCGTACAATTTAAAACTGATGTGTACAATTTTCGTCACGTTTTCAGTTAGGTTTTTCACGTTCACTGATTAGTAACACATTCCTTCATATTGATATGTGCTTTGTAGGAGAATTAATGGGCATGAAAATTATTCTTTAGCTTGTCTAAATCCTGCTACCATAAGCTTATTTTACTGACAAATGTTTGTTATTTTTTCAAAAGAAGTTTAGTTTTGAACCTCAAAATGTGTGTGCAATAATTGTATATAGATGTAGGTGTTTTGCTGATTCACAATTCAACTTTCTAGCATATAAATCCCATATTGTTTTGCCTTGATTGCCATTTATTCCAACCGAGACTAAAATAATTATACTTCCCGACATTCCCTGATTGTAGATTAAGTTTGATTTCTGTTGATTTAATGTGGCTGATATTTCAACCTTTTATAAGCCTATTTTTTGGTTGGCTCGCTTACAAAATATAAATCCTACTACGCAGCATCAGAATAGTAACTGACCCTCACGATAGTTCGAGAGTAAAAACAGGACTTGAGGCATAAACAAATTAAGATACTATTTACGAATATTTTAATTTGAGCGGTTTTTGTTTGAATGGTTAAAATAAAGGTGGAGTGATTGATACATCAATGAATAAAAGTGCTTCATCAGTATGTAAGAGCTTAAGATTATTCTAGTACTGACACGTATAATATTTTAAAAAAGTGTCTACGTTGAAATGTAGATTTGAGCTTTGAAATTAACAGTGCCATTGATAGTAGAATATAAGCCAATCAAGTATTATGTTGTCTGTAATTAATTCAGAGTCCGAGACTTTATTAAGTGGCGTATCTAGGGGGCCATGCAGGGGGGGGGGGCTGCACGCCATTCCAAAATCACCTTATTTTGCGAGTTAGCGTCCTCCACTAATCATCAAGCCTCCACTGATCATCGAGGCCTCCAGTGATTATCGAGTCCCCCACTTCACCTCTGAGCACCCCATTACCCCCCTTCCCCATTAGCGCCTCCATTAGCACCCCCATTTCAAGACTTCTAGATACGCCACTGACATTAATTAATCAATTTGTTCAACTTTATTTTAAAGTGGGTAGCTCTTTCAGCATGGCTGATATGAAGTAGCCCACTTAAACAAATCAACGACAAAACAGTATAAAATTAAAGTGAAAACACGAAAGAAAGCTATATGGAACACGAATTATACAAGGAGATAAAATTGGTAGGTACAAGTGAAAAAGGAAACAGCATATCAGAGCTAAAACCCGGAATTCATCAATCAGTCAATCAATCAATCCATCTGCTAATAGTCAATCAAAAATAGGCTTTGATATGTTTGGTAATGTTTTCTCTCAGATGTGTATGCTTTTCCCAAGAATCTGCCTATAATTCCAACTTACAGTACAGTATTTTTTTCTCATCGATACAATTATTAGCTTTTAAATACTATGAGTGGACCAGTGCAAACTGGTTGAGCTTCATTTTCCGCAATACATGGTTTTTAGTAAATCTTTAAAATAAAGGCAGCCAGGCTATTGTTACACCAGTCTTAAACAAATTGCTGATCCTGATGGCAGCTATTTAGCCAAGGGTGTGGGGAATGACCCTGTTAAACCTACCTGTAAAAATCTTAGTGATAAATGAGTATGGAAAAAATAAGAACAAATAGACCATATTCTTTTTTTTCATAGGCTTCTTATAGGACCTATACAATCCTGACTACAGTTTTATGAGTGATTGTTAATCTGGCCTCAAAACCTGGACTAGGAAATAACCAAAATGTTCTGTATGGTGTTTCTGGGATGTTTTAATCTGTAATATTTCATGAATATTTACTGTATTACCATAAACCATATTGCAGTCATTAATATGTGGCTGGGATAATCTCGGAATCATGCTACATTCCCTTCCTCCAGTGAGGACCTAGGGACTTTCTATTACTTGGCCTCAGAACCCGCCTTCCCCCTCCCAGTGGCGGATCTAAAGGGGGTCAATAGTGTGGCTAACCACCCCTCTTCGGTTACCGTGCAAAAAAAAATGGTCACTCTTCTTGAGTGCTTCTCGTGTATACATTTTACGTGTAGTAGTTACTCTGTTAACACATCTTTCTATTTTAAGCTTAACTTCTTTTCAGATGAAATCTAAGAGCGTCTAGCCGTCTACTAATTCCAGAAAAATTTCAAATGAGAGGGACTCCCCTTCCAAAATCACCCCCCCCCCCGCTCGCATTATCCACCTACTATTACTAAATCCTATATCCGCCACTGCCTCCCGATCAAGGAGTCTAGCTACGGGGATGTCTGATGGGATGTTAATATTTTAATTCAATCCATACATACAAAATAACATCCAATCAGAGTTAGGAGTTCGTTTAACTGATGTAACAACGCTCAATGGCTTAAAGAAAACTGTCAACGGATAGGCCACTGTCAGCCCATGCATGCACAACCCGATTGTTGGTATAACCAGGGAACAGTAATAGAATATTATGTCTAAAGTCATTGTTAAATAAGACGGAAATCTTGGTGCCGACTGTCGTCAACCGACGCGACGCGACGCGATATTCGTCCTCGTCACTCCCTCACATGCACTAAATTCCACTTAGACACCGTCTTGTTTTGGTTTAAGCATGTTCAAGTTCGGGAACGATTTCACTTCCAACTTCTTACTGACAAATTTCCCAACTTTGCCAACTAAGTCTGTTTGTTCAATACTGTAGCTGTTTCGGTTTTCCCCCTGTCCATTTCTCGGGTATGCTTTTTCTTGTTAAGTTTTAATTAATTAACGATCAAGTCACTTTTTGTTTGTAAAACACGTGATCAATTCGCATTAATTTTCGTCCACTTGTTTTATGTCTCGCTATTCTGATTTATTGGACGTCAATCTGTTAGTTTACCTGTCCGTACGTCACACTTTTGGTTTTGTAACACGTGATTCAGTACTTCTCGTCTACCTTTTTTCTGTCTCGCCTTTTTTTTTTCCTATTATTTTATTGGATGTCATTCTGTTAGTTTACCTGTCTATTATTTGTTTTGGGTTCAACTTGAATGTTCTTTAATTCACTTGGTAATACTATAGTTACACTTGTGTCTCTTGGGAAACAAGGAATTGAGGAAATGAAAAGTCAATTTACGGAAATACGTGCGTTTGCTCGACGGCGGTACAGCAATTGCAATGTGATGACAGGTAAATGCTGCTGAGTATTTGTGTCAAGTAGGCACTGAACTGAAAGCGAGGTAATTGGGCAAACCTTCCGCCATATAGGCCTATATAAAATGAATTTATTGCAAAATGATCCGTCCATCAATTTAAATATCATTAATAAATAAATAAATCTATAAATCATTTATCCAATCGGCAATTTATATATATATATATATAT